CAGCAAGTTTCATGTGGTGACTTGAATTACACCTAGACGTTATAAGGAAGGCCACGCTGCGATGACAGGGCCTGAGGACGTGTGTCCGAGTAGGAGGAAGCAGAGGAGCCAGGAGGCATTGTGTGCATTCGTCTTTCTCAGAACTGGACTCGTTATAGAGCCGTGGCTTAGTTGTGGCAACACTTGCTGTCAGTCAGCCACGTTTCTCTCGTTTTTATAGATAAAGTAAGATGGCAGATGTTTTTAGCAGTGCGTATAAAGTTGTATCGTGAGGATACACGTTTCAGTGTAATTTTTTGACTGCAGGGACATTTGAAAGCCATTAGAATTGATCCTGAAGAAATAAGAACACGGACGGTATTGCAGGGTCTGGAATTTATTGTGAAATGGGCTTCTAGGTTTCTGCTCCAGTGATCCCAGTGTTTAAGACTTTCACTATTGGTGTACCTGTTGCGTCACGTGAAAGAAACTTTTTGAAATTAAATTAATAAAAAGCATTGTTTGATCAACTGTGAGTGAAGATACAGCGATAGATGTGACGAGTGTCTACTGAACGTGAACACGTGGAAGTCGGTTTTGACTGTGTTACTGACAAAGAGCAGACGGCTTGAAAATAAATTATACTGTTATTCGTGACTGAGACAAATAGGTGTACAGGGATTTTTTTTCCTCACTGTTTCAAAAAATACACTAATGTAATTAAAATTATGCATCCATTAGATTTTTACTTCTTTCTGTCATACTTATTTTTACTGACATGATTATACCTAAAAAGTAAGAAATCTTTGCTGCATTTCTCTTCAGATCCTTATTATTTTTCATTTCTTATTTCTGAAAATAACTGGATTCTGTGGAGGGAGTGGGTATAAAAATGACCCATACTGCATGGCAGCGTGCTGGGCACAGCGTCGAGGGGAGAGGGATGGGTCTGAATCCTTTCTGCTTACGTTCCCGTCCCTTAGAAGCGTTGCTCTTTTTCCTTGTTTTCCACAGTGCCATTATGACTGGGTCCTACAACAACTTCTTTAGGATGTTTGATAGAAATACACGGAGGGATGTTACACTGGAAGCGTCAAGAGAGAACAGCAAGCCTCGAGCCAGCTTAAAGCCTCGGAAAGTATGTACAGGTGGTAAGAGAAAGAAAGACGAGATCAGTGTGGACAGCCTGGACTTCAACAAGAAGATCCTCCACACGGCCTGGCACCCCATGGAGAACGTTATTGCTGTAGCTGCCACCAATAACTTGTATATATTCCAGGACAAAATCAACTAAAGAAGTTAACTTGAGGACTAAGTCTTGTCTTGCATAGTGAAGCCGGTCATTTTCTGTCAGAGAAAAGGCATTGTTGTCCTCTCCATTAAGAACAGTGACACACCACTTCCCTTCCTAGACACAGGAGAGAAGCGGCCTCAGCTGGAGTCCCAGGGTGGTTCTGCCTTCAGCGAGGTGAGAGGTGGGTGCTGCTGCTCACGCGAGAAACCCACTTGAAGCAGAATCAACAGACATGGCTCAGTAAAGGCCATTACTCTAAATAAATGTATTTATTTAAGTCTGAGCCTTCCTTTCCAGTTCATAGACCAAAAAATTAACATCCAAGAGAAAAGCTGTCAGGTATCTCTCCAGTCCTCTCCCTCTTTCTCTGCCATCATACTCGGGCCTTCACACACGTGGGGTGTGGCGACTGTCCACACTCTTCCCCAGCCTTCATCTGAGTCCAGGCGGCCTTCCCGTTGGTGTGTGAATACAGCCCGAGCAGGCTCAGGCAGCTTTACTCACCCACTGTACCTACCATCACCTTCTGGTGTAACCACTTAATAAAAGCAACACACTATAAAAAGTGTTTTTAAACCCAAACATAAGTATCGTCTTTTTATTTGCTTTAATTGCATATAGTGAAATTATGCAGAATTATTCTTTGGAACTATTTGAAAAATTTCTGTCCTCCTTTGGCAGAACGGTGGAGTATGTACAGTACTTCCGTCTCTGAATTTGCCTGTCCCCAAACTGCCATAACTTGGTTTTGTTTCTGTAGAAATAGTCCATCTGATTATACCAGGTAAGATCTGGGAAAAGCCATAATTGAGGCCACCTCTGAGAAAAAAAACTGCAAGGAGAAGCAACAAAATTGCTGTTACTGTATTAAAAGTAGGCCTCAAATCCACTACAATTGAAAACCTGCTTTCTTTTTAAACCTTTTTAGAAAGTACTCTGGCGGGGGAAATATACTTTTTAAATATTGCTAAAATTATACGCATGCTAAATTTCACATTGCATTTCAAGCCAGCAAAATTAAACAATTATTATGTGATGCCTCCAGTACCTTGGTGGTCTATTTTGAAAGTAGGATATTTGATGTCAGAAGTCAAGATTTCCCAAGACAGAAAATAGAGGTGAACCGATGCTAAATGATGGGAGCTTGCTTCCCTGAGATTTAACACATGAGCCTGATCACGATAGCTCCAAGGAATGGAGAGCCAGGGGCCTTGTGCCACTGCTGGAATTAGGGTGTATTCTGATAACTAATAATATAGATATGCAAGAACAAAAAGTCTGTTATCACTCTGGATTAATGTTAACAGAATGCCACTTTAGTTTACATTAAATTAGAAATTGAGAATCTAAAATACCTTTATTTTAATTTAAAAGTAATTCTTATGCTGTGTATTGGTGTTGACACAACTTACAGAGTCTGAGATGTGGAACCAAGTTGTTTAAACATTAGTCAATCCTGGTCCTTAAGAAAAAAACAGTTCTAGTAAAATGGGATTGTATATATCTGTTCAACTATTTTGACCAAAAAGTTTAATAAATTTTAAATGTTTAACTGGATTTGCACTGTGTATTTGGACAACTTTTTCCATCTTTCTTTTAAAACATATTTCCCACTAAACAGAAACCCAAGCTTGCACTCCTCCAAGGGGACAGACAGAACAAAAGGTAAGAGTGTTCAGGTGGCTCCTCATGGTGCCCGTGCTCTGGTGGGCCGCGCTACTGCACAGGTCTATAAACATATTTCCCACTAAACAGAAACCCAAGCTTGCACTCCTCCAAGGGGACAGACAGAACAGAAGGTAAGAGTGTTCAGGTGGCTCCTCATGGTGCCCGTGCTCTGGTGGGCCGCGCTACTGCACAGGTCTATGTGTGCACGTTCAGCTGGCTCTGGACTCCCTGCAGGGGGAAGCTGGCCACCCTGTCCCCATTTTTGTGGCTTCACCCTAGTGTTCTGTTGATGTTCTCAGACTGTAGATAATAGTTACATATGTTGGCAAAAAGCAGGATTCACTTCTGAGAAATGTGTCCCCGTAGCAGGCATGTGGGAAGTTTCTGCCTTGTTCATTCTCCTCTCACACTTCTTATTGCACTCGTGCCTTTTTCCATCCCAGTGAGGTAAGAGTCAGACTTATTTTTTGTATGCATGTTTGTTTATAAAGTTTCTGTCATTTCTCTTCTAAAACTTTCCCCTTCTTGCTTGCTTGAAGAAGTTTTGTTTCTGCAAGTTAATTTGTGAGTTTTATTGCTTAGAATTCTGTGCTTCTATAAACCAGTTTGTTCTGCCATTACAAGACAAGACTCAAACAGTGTCTAGTTTTAGAGTACACGAGTCAGTGGCACCTGTGAGCCGAAAATACAGCAAGAGCCAGGTTTCTGTCCTTCCTGGGCGGAGCTAAATAGCAATAGTTTTCAACACCAGGAGCCACCCCTGGAGTGGTGCCGCACCTGGTCAGTGTGCGTGTATCCGGTACCCTCCCGCCCAGAGGGCTGTGCTCTACCATGCTTCTTAGCAGGAACTGTTGTTCTTAAAGGGGGACGAGGAAGATGTCAGAATTGGCACTTAAATTTTTTTTCTTTAAGCGTGTGTCTGCACCCATGGACCGGCAGCACTGGCATCACCAGGGTAATGACGGGAAGTGAGGTCAAAGCCAGTGGCAGTCCAGACTGTGCAGGGCCATGGCAGTGGCAGCATCTTCCCAGCTGCTATAGGTGGAGGAACAGGAAGTGGCTGCTGTATGCAGGACACTTCTATGCTC